AAGTTGGCCAAACTGGTTACCGATTATCGATACCGGTTTGTAACCGGTTTATCGATTACCGAATTACCGGTAAATGGTTACAAACCGGTATTACCAAAATACCGTGAGAAGCGATTTCGGGCGGTTTTTCGGTCGGTTTACCGAATATTTATCGAACCGAATTTCTGGAAGCGGGGTGATGTTGTAATATTTTGATTTTTTTGAGTTTTTTTCATCATTTTTGTAATTAATAATTTATTATTAACTCTTATTTACAATATTTTTGAGGCCTATACTTACATTCATATATGTAATATTTTATATTTTTGGGGTAAAGCAACAAAACGCAACACTAGGGAGTAGGGAGGGGGATTCGGTATCGGTAATACCGATTTACCGTCGGTATTTACCGATACCGGTAAACCGACTCCCCAACTTCCCGCTCAGCTGCCGATACCGCCAGTAAACGGTTTACCGGTTCAGTATAACGGTAAATCGTTTACCGGATTACCCTTTACCACCCCATGGTTCACATGCTTCCTTTGGTAGAATCCCCCCAATTGATAAGGCTCGCATGAACACATGACAATCATGGTAGCTTGAGACTATGAAAATTTTCCCTCAATCGAGCTTGGTTGATTGTTCCACCCTCGAGGTTGGCTATGAAATCTTAACAAACTAACCATCGTAACTCCCCTTATAATATCTCTCATAGCAATCGACTAGTCAGGATGACTGACAAAGCCATCGTTCCATCTAGGGTTGGAAGTTCGGTACAGGTATTTGGGATATACTGAATACCGTACCGATTTATTATTATTTGGTATTACCGAATACCAACTTATTTTTTAGGGATTGGGATTGTGATTCATTTTTTAGTGCTATTCGGTATTCGGGATTGGGATCGGTATATACCGAAATACCGAAAAAATACCGAATTAAAAATTTAATGAAATATAGCATACAACCTTTGGTCATTCCTCACTCTTTCATAACTTAGAAGTCTATATCCAACTCAATTTTGACTTTCTAGTTTAAGTCACCTCTCCTCCATTCTCCTTATCCATACCCTAGCTCCTAGCAAACTCAAGACTCTTCGCTTAGTCCCTTTGCCCTAAATTAAACAATTAAATCTAATTTATATATTTAATTATTAATTGTCAAGATAATTAATTTCGTATTCAATAATACTGATTGGGATACCGAAGTATTGATTGGGATACCGAAATATTTAGGGATTGGGATACCGAAATTATTTAGGGACTAAGATTGGGTTTAGGGTGTAATTCAGTATTTGATATTGAGATACCGAAACTTCATTGATTCATCCTCTATGACAATTTAACCCAACAGATCCATACCCCTAGTGGTGGTTATTAGCCTCAAAATTAGGCCTCTTCGAGCTCATAAAGAAGGAAGTGTTGGAAGAAGTCCTGGTTGAACAAGGATTCCGCTCAGCTCTAGGATTCAAAGAGTCAGGGGCCAAAATTTGAAGGTTGTTCAATGCTGACGCCGTTTGGTTTATGTTAAATAAGCAATGTTGCGTTTTGCATTATTGCAGAGTCAGTCTTTGTTTTTTGTTTTGTTGCATTTTGGTCCTCGAGCAGTGAGTCAAAGCTATTGAGCTTTTCCAGCTCAATTTGTTTGAGTAGTTAGTAGTGGCAGCATGTTTCCTGGTTAGTGGAACGTTGGAGCAGTAGTTAGTCGAGTCAATCTCAATTTCCTATATGTACTTTGCTTCTCATCTCAATAAGATTTGTCAGATTGCATTCAAAGGTGTTTTACATTTGGTATCAGAGCACTTTGCAAGCTGTAACCATTGGAGTGTTGAGAGGCTTTCAAGCTTTCTGAGTGTTTGTTTAAGAGTGAAATTTGAGTGATCTGCAAGATCTGGGATTGGGAAACATGAGGGTATTATTGTGAGGAAGTTTTTTCCAGGGTGAGAGGTTCTTTCATAGCAATCATGAGTGATAATGTTGGTTTTGCACAGGTCAGATTGCCAAAGTTTGATGGAGATTATGATCACTGGAGCCTTTTGATGGAGAACTTGCTGAGATCCAAGGAGTACTGGGGAGTGGTGAGTGATGGCATTCAGGAGCCAGCTCCTGGAACTCCACTGACTGCTGGAGAATCCAAAAGTCTTGATGACCTCAGGCTCAAAGACCTTAAAGCCAAAAATTACCTGTTCAGTTCCATTGATAAGTCAATTTTGAAGACCATCACTAACAAGGCTACTGCAGAGCAGCTGTGGGATGCTATGAAGACTAAGTACCAGGGCAATGCTCGTGTTCAGAAAGCTCAGTTGCAGGGTTTGAGAATAACTTTTGAAGTTCTTGAGATGAAGGAAGGTGAGAACATTACAGCTTACTTCAGTAGAGTAATGGTAGTGGCAAATGATATGAGGAATTGTGGTGAAGATATGCCTGATGTTAAGATAGTTGAGAAAATCCTAAGGACATTGACAGAGAAGTTTAACTATGTTGTATGTTCAATTAAGGAGTCCAAAGACATAGAAACTCTCTCTGTGGATGCTCTGCAGAGTTCCCTACTTGTGCATGAACATAAGTTTCATAAGAAACCTCTGGTTGAGGAAGATCAGGTTTTGAAAATGACATATGAAGTTGGAGGAAGAGGAGGTAGAGGAGCAGGAAGAGGTGGTTTTTCTCCCAGAGGTCGAGGTAGGGGAGGAAGAGGCTGGAATAAAGAGCATATTGAATGTTTTAAATGCCATAAGATGGGACACTATCGAAGTGAGTGTCCTGAATTGTATAGCAATCAACATGCTTATTATTCTGCTCACAGTAGTAATTCCAATCACTCTACTGAACTGCCTGATGATATTCTGCTAATGGCCTTTCTGGATGATTCCAAGATGGAAGGCATGGAAAACTGGTGGTTTTTAGACTCTGGATGCAGTAATCACATGAGTGGAGATAAGAGATGGTTTGGTGATATGGACACCAAGGTAACAGGAAAGGTGAGGCTGGGAAATGACAGCAAACTGGAGGTTGCTGGCAAAGGGAAAGTGAGACTGCAGCTGGGAGGAATTTCACTGCAGATCAGTGATGTGTTATATGTACCAGGCTTAAAAACAAACTTGCTCAGCATGGGACAATTACAAGAGAAGGGCCTGGAGTTTCTGGTCAAACGAAATGTATGCAAAATTTTCCTGGAAAACAAGGGTTTCTTGCTAGAAACCAGTATGAGAGCCAACAGAATGTTTCTGCTCAAAGATGAATCCAACAGAGTTGAAGCTCACTGGCTACAAGCTGATGACAACAAGGAATCTTCTCTAAGTCTCTGACACAGGAGATTTGGTCACTTGAGTCCAGAAGGGTTACTTCAAGTAAAGAAGAAAGGCCTGGTTTCAGGCTTACCAGACTTAAAAGGAGCTGTTGGAATCTGTGCTACTTGTCAGGTTGGCAAGCAAACCAGACAAGCCTTCCCAAAGCACAGTCAATGGAGGGCAACTCAAAAATTGCAACCGGTTCATGCAGATTTGTGTGGTCCTATCACCCCAACCTCAAATGGTGGTAAAAGGTATATATTCACCCTCATTGATGATTACAGTAGGAAGTTGTGGGTTTTTCATCTGGCTACTAAATCTGAGGCTCTTGAATGGTTTAAAAGGTTCAAAGTTAATGTAGAAAAGGAAACTAGTCTGTCTATTAAGTGTCTTAGGACAGACAGGGGTGGAGAGTTTCTGCTAAGTGAGTTTCAGTCATTATGTATTGAAACTGGAATAAAAAGGCAGCGCACTGCTGCACTCACACCTCAGCAGAATGGGGTGGCTGAGAGAAAGAATAGAACAGTCATGAACATGGTGAGATGCATGTTAAAAGACACACAAGTACCTGCAGGTTTCTGGCCAGAAGCAGTAAATTGGACAACTCATGTCCTAAATAGAAGTCCTACAGTGGCAAACCAAGGAAAGACCCCACATGAACTATGGTCTGGTGCAGCTCCTTCAGTGTCTTACTTCAGAGTTTTTGGCTGTGTGGCATATGCACATGTGCCTGACAAGCTAAGGAAGAAACTGGATAACAAGAGTACTCAATGCCAGTTCCTGGGAATCTCCAAAGAATCCAAGGCTTATAGGCTCTATGATCCAGAAATCAGGAAGATTGTGGTAAGCAGGGATGTGGTATTTGATGAAAGTAAAGGTTGGAAGTGGAAATCTGCCAATCCTCCAACTCAGACAAGTCTGGTATGGGAAGGAAGTGAAGATCCATTTGTTGATTCAGATGGGGAAGAAGGTCCTCAGCTTTTGGACACTCCAGTTCCTACAGAAGAAACAACAGAAGAACCACCAAGTCCTGAAAGTCCTGTCACACCAGCTGGGAAAAATGCTAATGATGAATTTGATGATAATGCTTCAACTGATGTGCTGGGACTACCTAGAAGCACTGATCTAGGTCCCAGATCCAGAAAACCTCCAAGTCATTTGGCCATTTATGACTGCAACAGTGTGGAAGAAGTACAATCAGAATGGTTAGCAATGGTTGCTACAGCAGAAGATCCTCAAACCTTTGAGGATGCAACCAAGGATGACATCTGGAATGAAGCAATGAAGCTGGAAATGCACAGCATTGAGAGAAATCAGACCTAGGAACTGACAAAAATCCCAGAAGGTATTATTCCCATCGGTTTGAAATGGATATACAAACCAAGTTTACTGAAACAGGCTCTTTGGATAAACACAAGGCAATGTTGGTGGTCAAAGGGTATGCTCAGAGGTTTGGAGTGGATTACAATGAGGTATTTGCACCTGTGGCTAGGTGGGATACCATTAGATGTCTCTTAGCATTTGCTGCACACCATGGACTTACAGTCTGGCAGTTAGATGTCAAGAGTGAATTTCTAAATGGGGAGCTCACTGAGGATGTGTATGTTGAGCAACCACAAGGGTTTGTGGTTGCTGGGAGGAATCTAAAGTCTACAAGCTCAAGAAGGCACTTTATGGCTTAAAACAAGCTCCTAGGGCCTGGTACAGTCGCATTTAAGCCTATTTTCTAGCATCTGGTTTCGAGAAAAGTCAGCATGAAGCCACACTGTTCATCAAGACAACTACAAAAGGATCACTGCTTGTTAGCATCTATGTAGATGATGTATTTTACACTGGTACAAGCACTGAAATGGTAGAAGAGTTCAGAAGATCAATGGAGGCTGAGTTTGAAATGACTGATCTGGGGAAGATGAAGTATTTTTTGGGAGTAGAAGTAATGTAGAGAGAAGCTGGCATCTTCATTTCACAACAGAAGTATGCAAAAGAGGTCCTGAAGAGGTTTAATTTGGCTGAGTGTAACTTTGTACACAATCCCATTGCTCCTGGAACTAAGCTAACTAAAGTTGGGGATGGCTGTTTGGTGAATGCTACTGAGTACAAGCAACTTATTGGCAGCCTGCTGTACATCACAGCCACACGACCAGATTTGATGTTTGTTGTGTGTTCTTTGAGCAGATACATGGAGGCTCCCACGAGGCAACATCTACTGGCAGCCAAAAGGATCCTAAGATACTTGAAAGGAACTCAGGGCTATGGCATCTGGTACAAACAAGGAAGTGGAGAAGACTGTCTGATGGGCTTCACAGACAGTGATTATGCAGGAGATTCTGATGATAGAAAGAGCACTAGTGGGTACATTTACTTTCTTGCAGGAGGGGCAGTATTCTGGGCTTCCAAAAAGCAGCTTGTTGTTACTTTGTCTACCACAGAAGCAGAATTTGTGGCAGCTGCATACTGTGTTGCCCAAGGGGTATGGCTAAGGCGAATTCTTGCTGACATTGGATGGAAGTCGAGTGTGGAGAAAGGGACTGTCATCATGTGTGATTACAGCTCTACCATCAAGCTGTCCAAGAACCCTGTTCTCCATGGAAGAAGCAAACACATCGATGTCAGATTTCATTTTTTAAGGGAACTGGTCAGAGATGAAATTGTGGAGCTCAGGTATTGTGGCACTAAGGAGCAAGTGGCTGATATAATGACAAAGGGTCTGTCTTTGGAGGCATTCTGCAGGCTAAGGGAAGAACTTGGTGTTTGTGATGTTTTTGGAAGTGAAGAGGGCATTAATGATGAACTGAAGCCTGCTGCTGAGGTGCTTCAGTTCAGGGGAGGATAATGTTGGAAGAAGTCCTGGTTGAACAAGGATTCCGCTCAGCTCTCGGATTCAAAGAGTCAGGCGCCAAAATTTGAAGGTTGTTCAATGCTGGAGAATGCGGCGCCGTTTGGTTTATGTTAAATAAGCAATGTTGCGTTTTGCATTATTGCAGAGTCAGTCTTTGTTTTTTGTTTTGTTGCATTTTGGTCCTCGAGCAGTGAGTCAAAGCTGTTGAGCTTTTCCAGCTCAATTTGTTTGAGTAGTTAGTAGTGGCAGCGGGTTTCCTGGTCAGTGGAACGTTGGAGCAGTAGTTAGTCGAGTCAATCTCAATTTCCTATATGTACTTTGCTTCTCATCTCAATAAGATTTGTCAGATTGCATTCAAAGGTATTTTACAGGAATAACTTGTAAGTTTGTAACAATAATAATACACTCACTTGATTCTTTGCCTACCCCACCTCACTAGTTTGCCATCCCTCTAGTACCTAATCTACCTTCCCTCGACGAGGTACAAGGTAAACAAGAAAATGGGCAAACATTGAAAGACGATGGTGGCGAATGGCGATACCTAAAACAATAAAAGCAAACCCAAAAGCCCATACTTAAAAGACTAAAGTGGACCACAACCCATCCATTTCAGAAGGAAAAGTGACGTCCAATTTTTGGGCCTAACACAAACAACGAAAAAAAGAGGATAAGGATTCGAGGGCATATACGTCAATTCGGACCCCACCAAGGACATCCTCGTCATTTCCATCCCTCCCACAACCCCCCACCCAATGGCAAAATCGTTAATTTCCAATCCAGCCGACCCTATAAAACCCCCTTTCTTCCTTCCCAATTTCCTTTCGTCCCATTCATTCTTCACGCACTCTCCTCCCTCCCTCGGCGTTTTTTTCTTGCTCCCATTTCTCCCGCTCCAATTTCTTCGCGGCAATTCAAAGCCTCTCCCTCTCGAATCTCGATTCGTTATCTTTCTCAGATTCCGACCGCCGGCCGGCCATCCCGCCGCCGTCTCGGCGAGCTGCTCCGATTTAGTTTCCGTTTTTCTAATTGCCCACAAATAGCCTCCCTTTCTCTCTCTTTTTCTCTACCCTTCGCTTTTCAGTTATACCGGTTCCTTTTTTTCTCTTTCCCCCGCCCATCCGATTCGCAAGATGCTGCCACCTGGCGATTCCAGGAAGCGGAAAGACAGAGTATCAACGCCAGCGTTTTATTCAGCTGCCAAGCCATCGGCTCGGCTCGACTACCTCCACAAGCCGCCGCCGAATATGGCGCCGCCGTCTCCCACGCCAAGCCCTTCATCCAACAACGGGCTTCTTGCCGGGTACCTAGCGTACGAGTTCCTAACGAGAGGGACGATTCTCGGTGAGAAGTTTGACCCGGCGAAGTCGACGGAGGCGGCGGATAGCCGGAGAATTAGGAGAGGCGGAGCGAAACCGGCGGCCGCCGAGGAGGGGATGAAAGAAAAGAAGAAGAAGGAAGACGAGGAGCGGAGCTATGCGGAGGTGGCGAGCATATTGAAGACGGAACGGGCTCACGTTCCGGGGATTGTGAACCCGACCCAACTGGCCCGCTGGATCCGGATGTGAAAGAGAAATGGAGAAAGGCGAGGGGGGAACAAAAATGGAGTTTGGGATTGAACGTGAGTTGGTGTAAACTTGCAGTAGAAGAAGGTTTGGTGGGAGGGAGACAGGGGAAGCGCTGCTACGTCAAGCTCCGACAACACCACTAAAGCTTTGAAGACCGTCGAGAAGAATGCCGGGCGTTGATCTTGCGCAAGGTGTAAACTTCCCGATAAGAAGTTCCTTTCTTCTCAACTTTCGGTAGATTCTTTCCATATTTTCTTCTGTATCAAATCTCAAGGTTTCCCATTACATTCAACAACTTTCTTATCATAAGAATCCCAATGTATCGAAGCTCGGTTTCTGTTTTTAGTCAGTTGAGGCTAGGCGGCAAAACTGTTTGTAATTCTTCACATTGAATGCCAGAAGATCCGTCGCATTTGTTTTGACTGCTTGAGTTGTTGGCAATTTGGTATTTTATTCAGAGGATGAAATCATCGGCAGAGTAGTAGTCAGCAATCAACCTGTACATGAACGATGGGTTGTGTCCTCCTCTGCAAGGGCATAAAATCAAAATCAGAAAAGACCATATATAGGAAACTAGGAAAGGTTAGCAGGATGATTGAAAGAACGAGGAAAAGCGTTGATCTTTTTCACTTACATGTCTGTGATGAAAAGATTGATAAGCTGCGGTGGAACGTAGTCGAAGGCAGGGTTTACGACGTTAAGTACACAAGCACTGCTATCGGGTGCTAGTTCCATGCATTCTGAGAATTCCCCAAACTGGAGGAGATCAGATGGCGACTTGAGTTCATTCAACCGAACTACTGGGTTTTCTGGGTATAAAGGGCATAGCTGAAACCAGTGGAGTTCAGAGTCATGCTCAAACTCTAAAAGATATGGAAAATGCGTTTGAATTGATTCACCCGTTTGTTTTAGTACCTTGTGAGTGGCTGCAACTACAACGAACGGAACACCATGTTGTTTGGCTGCAAGTGCGAGCATGTTCAACCCAACTGGACCTATGATCCCACCATTAGCCATCACAGTATGAGCTCCAACCACAACCTGTACCACAAATAGGAAACGTCTTTTGAGTTTAACCAACTCCTGCATAGTATTTGTACAAAATGTGATCGGATAGTCACTGCCTAACCATGTTCACTCGTGAAATCATGGCAAATACTGCAGAATCTGTGATCAAAGTGGTCCTAAAACCTTCTGCAGATAGGTCCTTCGCAAAGCAGTGTCCTTGGTACCTTGTGCCAGCCAAATTGTTAAATGAATCAGTGGTGATAAAGAATCGCACAACCGATAGAAGATTTAAAGAGAAAAAAAAGACACTGCAAAAGTAAACTGCTGGGAGTTTCAGACTTGGGAGCTCCTTCAGCGACATAAACCCTGAATGATCTTTTCTTCTTTGCTGCACACAAGAACTCCATCACAGATTTTGATTTTCCAAAAGTCAGAATCACCTCACTGCACAAAAAACAAAGGGCCCTTGTCAGAGACCTTGCATTGTTGTGCAGAGTTGGTATTCAACGTAAGGGTTGTATTGAGTTTACTTGTGATGAATGAGCTCCAATGCTTGCTCTGCAATCTGTTGGTGACAACCACTTATCTCTTCAACAAGCTCATTAATTGCTTCCATCACATTATGCTTCAACATCCAGGCTTTTGCATTCTTATCAGCAGGTGCTGTAAACCATTTGCATAAGCCTTAGAATCTAAAACTAGTCAAAGATAAAAACGTCTGGCTTGGAAAACAAAACCAAATAGGAGTATACCTTTTCTTTTGCCTCCCATATCGTCCGCATGCGCATTGGGGACACGGTCAAGTAAGCCATGCAGTGAAGGAGACCGCAACAACCTTCTAGTAGCCAAAACATCCGCACTGGAAACTTGACCATCTGTGCAATCAGCTGTCTCTTGGTTATCACCATCGGATGGCAAACCATATGTTACTCCGGATGCATCTTCTTCTCGGATGATACGCAACACCCTCCTTACAATGTTCCCCACAGAAAGCTCTGGAAGTACAAGAGTCTCCACTATAATTACGAACATTCGTAAACACAACGAACCCATATAGCTCTGGAGAAGAGGGGTTTTCTGTACTAAACACTATAGTTCTCAATTTCAGGGTAACAGTAATAGGCAATTGGAATTCTAACTAAATCACAAGTCTCCTAAAGATAAGTTAAAGGATTGAAAGCCATACCAAAGGGATTAGCAGCAATTAACTCCCTGCCAAATTTCCTCACAGTTTCAATAAGAACAGGAGCCTCAGCGGCCCTCAGTTGAGATATTACAGTCCGAAGCAACTCCGCTGTTAGTTGAGCGGTTGCTTGCGAACCCTCCACTTTCCTGCGGAATGAAAACGAACCCAGAAAATGAATTAACCTTGAAACCATGCCAATCGTACAATTCGCTCAGTTGAATGCCCAAGATCATGATAGTAATTCGTTCTGGAGAAAACCCATCACCCCCAAGAACATGATCAGTGGTGGAAAAGCAACATACGTAACGGAATCGAAATTCCGTCGAGAAGAAATGGTCAACTGCCAAAATGAGAAGGGGGAAGCTGCTAAATCTTGTTAATCAGGGCGAAATTATGCACACAAAAAAAAAAAAAAAAACTCACCGTTTCCGAAGCTGTGAGACGAACTCGTCCACGAGAAGTTGAGGTCCTGGCATGCTAAACTATAGTGATCAAACCCACCCACAACCCAGAATAAGCGCAGAGAATGTGTGGGTTAGAATGGAGAAGTAGCAGAGATTGAGATTCCAAAATCGACGCGCAAGTCTGGATTCTGGGAGCTGGAATCGAAGCCAGGAAACAAGGTGATTTGGAACGAAGGCACGGCAATGATAGCTTTGAAGAAACAAGTAGGAAGAATGGCTGGCTGGACAAAGAAATAGTTTCTTCAGTTTCTCTCTCTAGGGTTTATGGACGTTTATTACTCAATTTTCCCGGGTTCTGAAGGGAGGGAACTTTTCCACGAAGATAGGAAGTTTGGGCCTGGGTTCCTATCTATGGAATTTGTTTTCATAGGTCTCTTGGGCTGGGCCGGCCTAATCATTACACGCTTTCCCACACCAAAGTACCACTTAAACACGTTATTGCAATCATCGGAACGGAAGTTTGGGCCTGGGTTTCTATGGTGGATACTTTGGAAGCAATAATTGTAAAATCGTATCGGAAATTGTATAGGGGTAGTTAATTTTCAATAATCGGCAGCAATCCAAGCCTTGGAGTCGTAGGGGTGTTTAAACGGATTAGTTACCGTGGTAATCATATTAATCGGTAACATTCGATTAATTTGGTTTGGTTAATTTGGATAATTTGTTTGGTTTGGTTAAACAATTTAGCTTATTTGATTTAGGTAGTTTGGTTTGATTTCAACACTGCTAACCAATGAAACCAAGGAACCAATTAATGATACACGTAATATATAAAATTATTTATACTTCCATGCAACCAGCCAAACTTTCGGGATTCCCTATTTTATTTCCATGTGCACACAAACCAAAGCATTATGGGTCAAAAATTAAATGGGTCTTTCTATTTACTAAACCAGAACATTTTGGACAGCTACTAGACTTTAGGATTACGTAGAGTTCCATGACAACCACCTCAAACTATGTATAGTTTAAGTATTTTGTACGAGAGCTTTAACTTCCTCATGGCTGGTATTGGTATGTATTTAATATTTATGTTAAGCAGTGTTATTAAGACCGGACCGAGCCGGCCGGCCGGACCGCTAAAGCCGCCTCCCGGCCGCAAAACGGCTCGGACCCGTCATTTAGCCGCTACGGTTTTATGGAGCAGCCGATGCGGTTAACCGCTCGAGCCGCTCGAATTGGTTGCTCGGTTTTCGTCTTTCGGTCGTTCTGTTTAATAAAATAAATTGAAAAAGAAAAACTAGTTGCTCGGTTTTCGTCTTTTGGTTCGGCTCTGGCGTTCCAATATTTTCAAAAGTCTAGGTCATCGACTTAATCATTCTTTTTTCTTGTTTGTGCGTCTCTTTATTGTAGTAGTTTTGTAGCTATTGTTTGTTCATTTCGTGGTTATTTTATACTGTAATCGTGGTTCAATCTATTTATATCGCTAAAAATTGTCTGCCAATTTAGGTTCGATGATCAATTTTCCAGGTTGAATCACCGGTATGATAAAATTTTAATTGCTTCAAATTAAAAGGAATCTACGAATATATCTAATTCTCACAACTATTGTAAGGGGGAAATTATTATTTGGTTAAAAAAAAAAACTAATGATATTGGTACAAATAAAAATTTAAGCTAATATGAGAAATCTTGCGTGGGAATTACCTAAGCTGATGTGAGTTATATTGCTCCCGCCTTTATTCAAATTAAAGTACTTATAAAATAGCTCTCAAATCTATATCGGTTGCCACTTTGCCCAATATTGATCTTTATTGTGTTGAATAATTCTAAGGTAAAAAATTGGTCGACATTTGGCTTGCTTATGAATCTCCCATCTCCATCTGTTGATACTGTTTTCTCCGAATGGTTTTTTTAGAGGTGGAAATTGGGGTGGGTGTGGTTACCCGCCCCACATTTTGCGGGTACCCACACCCACAAATTTACAATTATGCTATCCACAACCCGCACCGCAGTGGTTAGTGGGTAACCACTACCTACTGTGGGTTTGTGCGGGTTGGGTGTGGTTACCCGCAAAAATCCATCTTTGCAAGCATAGAGTTCTAGTTGCCACTAACGTATTTGTTGTTCGTAACTAGACTATAGTGATATACACTTGTGTTGTTCGTGGAGATACAACTTTGTAAATCGATCTTACTCAACGTGAAGATTTTTTCTTTTTGAGTTTGGTATTCAACTTTTGTGCCAGAGAGCTGTGATTTCATATTTCCCCGACTAAGGGTGAAATATGACAATTAAATATGATCTTGTATTTTTTTCACACAAAAGCAAAAACATACTGATAAAAGTTATAAAAGGTGTTCACTTTTAATGAATTGATTATTCTCCACTCTATCGATTATAGTGTTTTATAAACTAAAAAATTCTTACATAAATCTGATTAGGTGTCTTTTTTATTTGGTGGCTACTTTAATTTTTATCCTCGCACTTTTCACATACTATCATATTATAAAGTTAATTCACTAAATAAATATAATTAGTGTGGTTATTGTGGATTTTGTTGGTTAACCGTGGTGGGTAGTGGATAACCACTAACCACAACAATCGTTATTTTACTACCCACACCCAACCTACTACCCACAACTTGTGGGTATGGTTACCCACAATAGGTGCGGGTTGGTGCGGTTTGCGGATTATCCACAACCCGCAACCCAAACTTCCACCCCTAGACTTTTTCTTTTTCTGCCTCAAAGAGAATATATTGAATGCTCTAATTAAGAAGGTTGTTTGTTGCTAATGGAATTGGAACACATGGATAGCTCGAAATGGTTTTGTATGTGAGATCAAGATTCTTTCCCTGACCACTGAGGTAATTATGGTTGATTGTGACTTCTAGAGTTTGGAAAAGGCTAGGAATTGCTCGTGAATATCATCCTTCTCAGTCCAGGGGATCTCGTTCATACCTCCAACGATCGCTGGGTCTTTCCAAAAGATTGTGCAATCTGGTAGTTCCTTTGTTTCTGAATCACATGTGGATGCCTATATATTACTATTGCTAACTGTCATGGACAATGGACAAGTGTAAGACGACATGATTGAGATTTTTCTTCTGTTCTTATAAGATTCAAATGGAAGTTTTTGCCCTCTTTCATGTTGTCAAGTTGGCAACTCAGTAACCTTGTCCCACATGTATCATATCATAATGTTATATTTTGATACTAGTGTTAAAGTAGGCTCCAAATCTTTGGCCATGGCAATGTAAAACAACATTAGCTCGTTATGCTTGAGCATACTAGGTTGCTCGTAATGCTCGTTTAGATCATTTACCTATGAGATGAGTTGTGTTATTGCCGATCTTATTTCTCCACTAATGTAATGATCTTTCCTTCCACTGGTGGAGATATAGAATAAAAGATCTTATTTATATATTAAAAAAAACACTATGATTATCAACTCTTGAGAACCCACACTCACTTCAATGCAATTCAATAGGTCCACATAAACAACCCTATGTGAGCGGGATGAAGATACTATATTCTGGAAGGAAGACTATTGGCTATTACATGTCAAAAGATAACTGATAGGGTATCCTAGTAACTAAGGAAATAATACCCTAGCTAATGGCATAAAGAAGGAAAGAAGACAAGAGCAAAAAGACAAGAGACAAGGTCAGGCACCTGATATCAGCAAGGACAAGGGGCAGGGGGACACCCTCTGTCAAAAAGGACCATGTACAGTGTTTGAAGGTCTGAGGCGCCCGACCACAGCATTTATGGCTTGGCAGGCGCCCAGACCACTACCTAACCCTCAAATGTGTATAAATAGGATAGGAGTTCTCTCCTCATAAATGGCAATCTATCTACTCTTACTATTACTTCTCTCTACTTTCTCTCTATATATACTTCTTATCTTTTATTGCTTCTGACGAGGCGGGGCGCCTACCCCCTCGAAGTCATGGCTGACGTCCCAAACCCCTTGGACCTGAGTGACGCCCAGTCGGCCGAGCTCAAACAATTGGCGCCCACCGTGGGGCCAAGCATGACTTTGAAAGACGCTTCCAACTCAAAGAAGGGGGAAGAAAGGAGTCCGGCACCAACGAAGACCCCTCTCAAGCAAGTGGTTGGTCGTGAAGCGATCAACCCCCAACCGCTCACCATCCAAGGCTTAGAAGCGTTCGACGACGACGATCCATCAGGAGACGGAGAAGGCGCGGAGCGCCTGGAGGGCCAACTAGCGGAGCTTCGGAAAAAATAAGCACTTCAAATGGCGAGCATGCAAGGCCAACTAGACCAAGTCATGACCGCGTTGACAGCACTAACAAAGGCCAACGACCAGGCGCCTCCAAATCCCCAAGAAGCCACAGAGGAGAGGAGGCGCCTCCGAGGGAAGATGCAGGAGGTTGAGGCGGTACCCATGAACTCCCCACGGGAGGGTGTGGGCGCCTCACCAAATGAGGACGCAATGGAAGCTGACACCGACATCTACCTGGAGAAGTACGCCCGACTCAACTACGGCGCCTCGGAAGAAAGAAGTGCCCAAATCATTAGGTAGTCGTTGTCAAAGGGGGTGCTCGAAACACCAATCCCACCGAATTTCGCAAGCATCGGCCTACCCTCATATGAAGGAAAATCTGACCCAGAAGATCACTTGAGTACGTTCTGCCGAAAAATGCAACTCCTCAATGCGTCTGACGCTGCCTTGTGCAAGACATTCCCCTCAACCTTCACCGGAGGATGCAGTAGCTGGTAATCCTCACTCCCAGAGGGCATCATTCAGAGCTTTGCTCAATTCGCTTTGTTATTTACAACAAAGTACGCGAGCCAGAAGAAGCAAACGCTGACGGTTCGTGCGCTTGTCAATCTTAAGCAAAGAAAGGGAGAGAGCCTCAGGCACTTCATGGGGCGATGGTGGGAAGTCGCGTCCGATGTCAAAGACCTAACCCCTCCACTTATGCACACCAATCTAATGGATGCAAGCACCAACGAAGAGCTAAGGCGCTCTCTAGCCAAAAGAGAGATACGACAGGTAGCTGAACTGGAAGAAAAGGTTCAGAAGGCAATCCTCATGGAGGAGGCGCTAGGGGCAAAGGAGGAGGAACAAGGAAGTGGCTCCAGGCACCCAGCTCAAAATGAGAGGGGCGAGACGCCGAGAACCAGAAGGCGGATCCCAGATCGACGCGATGATGCCCGACGTCCCAATGTCTGGGTAAGAAGAGACGTTCTTGCAAATTCACAAGAGCCTCGCCGTGACCAAACCAACCGCGAGAACGCGAATCAATCTCGGGGGCAAGCAAACATGTACTGCAAGTACCACAACTCTCGCACCCATAACACTGTTGATTGCCACTACTTCAAAAAGGCACTTAAGATAATCTCTGATCGAGGAGGAGTAAGAGAAATGTTCCAGAAAGCAGAACAGGGAAATCAATCTCCGCGGGAGCGCAGTCGCTCTCCAGCCACCAGTGCAGGAGCGCCTGGGTCCTAACCCAAATGTCAAGGAGATAAGAACCATCGCGAGAGGGGAGCCCAGCCGAAAGAAGAAGCGCAAGGGGCAAGCGAGTGACACATGGTGTATGAAGATCGCAAAGCAAGAGGGTCCCGACTTGTCATTTACATCGCAAGACTATCCTCCGGAGGGCCCATCTGAAAGCCCTCTTGTCATCAACATATAAGTGGAAGGGTACAAGGTATTCCGAGTGCTGGTAGATAGTGGGAGCTCCGCTGACATACTATTCTATTCCTGTTGGCGCCAAATGCAAACACCCCCTGAGGTTATGCAAGCCTCAGAAGCCCAACTTGTCGGCTTTTCCGGAGCAAAAGTAAAGGTACTAGGAACTGCGCGCTTAAGGGTCAAGGTAGGAGACGAGGAGCCAAGTGTCACGCACCCGGTGGACTTCCACATTGCCAACTACCCATCCGCATATAATGCCATTCTAGGGAGGCCCTTCCTAGCTCGGTTCGGAGCTGTAGCCTCAACCTATCATCAGGCAATGAAGTTCCAAACACCCCAAGGAATGGGGATAGCCAGGGGGGATGCGAAGGCAGCAAAGGCGTGCTATGCGGCGACCATTCACAAGCCAAAAATACACACGATCGATGCTAGACCAACGGAGGTGCCGCGCCCTGGAGCAGTTGATTCAGAGATAGAGCTACCATTAGACCCTGATGACCCAAGCCGAGTCGTCCGACTCTCTGCCCATCTACCAGAGCACATGCGCCTCCCAATGATCAACCTGTGAAGGGAATACGCCGATTTATTTGCTTGGAGCCCTGAAGACATGCCAGGCGTCTCTAGGGATCTTATGGAACATAAGCTCTCCGTCAAACCAGAGAGCGTGCCAGTACAACAAAAAAGGAGGGGAGCATCGTTGGCAAGGAGGGTAGCCATGATGGAAGAGGTACAGAAGCTGCTTAAGGCAAGTTTTATTCGAGAAGTGCAATACCCGAAGTGGTTGGCAAACACAATATTGGTCAAGAAACACAACGGGACATGGCGAATGTGCATCGACTTCACCTCACTAAACAAAGCATGCCCAAAGGACCCATACCCACTACCAAGGATTGACCAGCTGGTCGATGCCACCTCAAATCATGAGATGTTAAGCTTTCTTGACATGTTTTCAAGGTACCACCAGATCCCTCTCAGCAAAGAGGATCAAGAGAAAACGGCTTTCATGACCCCGTACGGGAATTATTGCTATGTAGTAATGCCATTCGGCTTGAAGAATGCAGGTGCCACCTATCAGAGGATGGTGGACAAAGTCTTTGGAGGACATATAGGGCGGAATGTGGAGGCATACGTGGACGATGTGTTAATCAAAAGTAAGAAAGAGGGTGACCACCTGAACGACCTAAGGGAGACGTTTGAGAACCTGAGGCGTTACAATCTGAAGCTTAACCCCCTCAAGTGCGTGTTAGGGGCAGGTGCGAGTCAATTCTTAGGCTTCCTGATCACTCGCCGTGGTATTGAGGCTAATCCAAAGCAGATAAAGGCGATTGCCGAACTCAAGTCGCCAAGAACAGTAAAGGAAGTTCAGGCATTGGCAGGTAAACTTGCCGCGCTCAACAGATTCATTCCCAGGTCAGCGGATAGGTGCGCCCCGCTCTTCAATTCTCTAAAGAAAAAATCCAAGTTCAAATGGACGGAAGAATGTGAGAAAGCATTCGAGGAGATGAAAACTCTGCTGGTGAACCCCCTATCCTTGTAGCTCCAAAAGAGGGAGAGCGTTTGTTCCTTTACATAGCCATATCAGACGTGGCTATCAGTGCGGTGCTCGTTAGGCGTCACTTTGAAAATCTTGCAGATCAGCCGGTATACTACATCAACAAGATGCTCCTTCCAACCGAAAAGAGGTACCCAACCATCGATAAGGCAGCCCTGGCATTGGTGCCCAAAAACTGAGACCCTATTTCCAAGGACACACGGTCACCGTACTGACCAACCTACCAATGAAAAGAATTCTTCATAGCACAAGTGCTTCGGGGCGCCTAACTAAATGGGCAGTTGAGCTAAGTGAGTTTGATATCCAGTATGCTCCTCGCCCTTCCATCAAAGCCCAAATCCTAGCAGACTTTGTAGCAGAAGGAACGGTTGAACCTACAAGAACCGATGAAGGAAGATGGAAGCTATTTGTCGATGGTGCGGCAAGTAAGACAGGTGCAGGCGCCGGCATAGTCTTGGAAACACCAGGAGGTGTCACACACGAAGTGGCTTTGCGATTCTCGACACTTAAGACCAACAATGCGGCCGAATACGAGGCACTGATCAACGGCATGCGCATCGCGGAGGAGCTAGGGGCAAGGCGCCTAGACGTTTTCTCTGACTCTGCATTGGTGGTTCGACAGGTGTTGGGAGAGTTCGAAGTCAAGGAAGATTGTTTGCTGCGCTATGTCGAAGAGGCAAAGAAGAGAGCGCAGAGTTTCGAGGATTGGAAACTCTCCCATATAGCACGAGGGGATAACGCGCATGCGGATGCGCTTTCTAAGCTAGCCACCGTTGTTGACTTTGAGGAGGAACGACATGTAATCGTCGAAAAAAAGAGCCCAAATGCCCCAGGAATAGGGGTGAATAGTGTTAATATCGGTCACGAAGAGCAGGATTGGAGGGTGTCGATCGTTGAATACCTCATGAATGATACCCTTCCAAAAGATCCGAAAGAAGCCACGGGAGTAAGAAGGCGAGCGGCGCGTTGCACCATCATCGGCTCAGAGCTGCACCGATGGTCGTTCGAAGGAGTGTACCTTAGATGTCTGGGAAAAGCTGAAGCGAAGTGGGCACTCCGCGAGATTCACGAAGGCGTGTGTGGCGGACATGGGGGGCAAAGAAACTTGGAAAGAACGCTTAAGTTGCAAGGGTACTACTGGCCAACCATGAGAAATGATGCAAAGCAATTCACTATGGCATGTCATGCATGCCAAACCCATGCCAAAGAGCACCACCTCCCAGCTACTGCAATGCAAGGAAACATCAGTCCCTGGCCCTTTGCCCAATGGGGAATGGACCTAGTAGGGCCTTTCCCCAAAGCTTTGGGAAAGAGGAAATACCTTATCGTGGCAGTAGACTACTTCACAAAGTGGATCGAGGCTGAGCCGTTGGCCGCTATAACGGCAAAGCAAGTCGAGAAATTTGTCTTCAACAACATACTTGCACGATTTGGCATTCCCAATTCCATCGTCACTGATCATGGCAAGCAGTTTGACTACGCCTCCTTCGCAGACTTTTGTCAAGAATACAATATCTAGCTCAAGCTCTCATCAGTAGCATACCCAGAAGCGAATGGACAGGCGAAAGCAGCAAACAAAACCATACTTCAAGGACTGAAGAAGCGTCTCCAAGAGCAGAAAGGAAATTGGGTAGAGGAACTCCCCCATGTACTATGGGCGCTACGCACCACCCCAAAAAGCTCTACGGGTGAAACCCCATTCTCCCTAACTTTTGGTGCAGAAGCGGTGACTGCCACGGAAGTTGCGTTGCCCACCTTGCGTGTTCAATATTTCAATGAAGGGAACAATGTCAGCATGGCTCACGAACTAGACATGCTAGATGAGAGAAGGGTCAAGGCGCTTCGGAAGCTGGTGGAGGACAAGGAGCAGTTGGCAAAATACTATAATTCAAAGCTGAAACCTCACCACATTGAAGAGGGAGACCTTGTGCTGAGAAAGGTATTCTGCCTTAACCCGAATCATGGAAAGTTGGCTGCTAAGTGGGAGGGACCCTTCGTCGTAAGGGAGGTGATAGGACCAAGCACTTTCAAGCTCGCCACCATGGAGGCAGAACGTGTTAGCAAAACTTGGAACGCAAGGCATCTGAGGAAGTACATGTGCGAACAAGAGACACAGGATGAGTAATCGGAAGGTGAACATTTTGTAGGGAGGAGGGGCGCTCTCAAGGAGGCGTAGCCCGAAGACACCCTAAGAAGGATCCAAGTGTTTAGTTTTTTCTTGCTTTACTCCAAATTGATCCAAAGGTAGACATTTTTGTAGGGGGAGGGACGCTTTTAAAGAGGCGTAACCCAAAGACACCCTAATAGAGGCAAAAGCATGCTAGGAGGAGTCCTTTTATTCAGTTTAGATTGGTAATGTTAGGAATTTTCGGGAAAAGGGACGCACCCTGGCGATACCCCATGTAATCCCCTATCTTGCTAAAGGAATGAAGATTCACTGCTCAGCAAAGCAAAGCTATTCCTGTTTTAACAGATGGAGTCTCCCCCGACTCGCTTCCTCCGTCGAGGAGAAGCCCAAGCGTGTCACCTCCTTCTCAGGGGTATACGTAAGAAAAGTCGGGTTTTGCTCAAGATAGCCATCTTAGCAAAACCTTTTTCCCCGCAAACTGGCGGAGGAGCCCTAGCGCTTACACTTGGATTTTCATCCAAGTATCGGGCGCTCGTTGTACGAGTCCCCATGAGAGGCGATAAAATTGATTACATCCCTCGCAAAAATTCCTGCCTTGGCAGAAGGGGTCACCTGAACCCGCTTCCTCCGTCGAGGAGAAGCCTAGACACGTTACTTCTTTTTCAAGAATACGTGTGGGAGACCTAAAACTTGCTTCCTCCGTCAAGGAGAAGCCTAAGCGCGTTACTTCTTCTTCAAGAGTACGTGTCGGGAGCCTAAACTTGCTTCCTCCGTTGAGGAGAAGCCTAAGCACAGAATTAAAACAATATTCGTAACTAGTACACGAAAGCAAAAACACTTCTAAAAACGAGAACACTTCGGAGGCAGGACAACACAGTTCATAAGAGAAACATCCCCGAAGACATACAATGGCAAAATGAGCAAAAAGTACATGGAATCAACACAGTTTAAACAAACAATAGATAGAGGGAAGCATCCTAATTCTACTAGCCTGACTTGCTCGAAGCATCGTCAGAAGAGCTGGAATCACCGTCGGAGCCGCCATCTGAGGCGCCACCCTGGCCATCGGTAGCAGCGACATCCTTCTCACCAGTCTCCAAAGCATCAGGGCTGACATCAATGGCGCCTCCACCA